GTAGATAATATGTTGTAAAATGTACTATTTTTTAGACTTAAAATCTTTTTATTTTTCATGGTCATACATCTTGATGTCGAGATGATCACTCAAAGGGTTTTTCAACATTCAAACTACCTTTTCCGATGGCTTTTGGAGGTGCATCTGTATTTCTACATTATAAGCTTGCATCCTTATATAAACTTTTTTCTTTATTTTTGTACAAAGAGGTCACAATCACTCTTGTCCATTAGATTTTAAATGAGGTAGTTGTAACTGTGACGGTGACTAAACTCAAAGTAGAAAAAAAAGATTTTCAAAACTTCGTGACACCCCAATCTATCGAATTTGACATCTAATAGCTATGTGTGATTGTGACCTCTTTGTGCTAAAAATATATGGTCTCATAGCATACAATCCCTTTAAAATGTCAGGACAGCGCAATGCGAGTATTTTAGAAATCTAGCTACTTCGAAATAAATTTCAATTTTATTTTTATTACAAGAATATATGTTTCAATGAATTGGAGGTAGATTAGGGAGGTAGATTAGGAGCACGTGGAAATTGCTTTTCACAAAGAAGTGAAAACCGAAAATTTATCCTTAATGAAATGTATCCATATTATCTCTAGTGATTCCAATGAACAACGAATCATGTTATTACATACCATGGTAGTAAGAAGATATATGGTTGTCTTGATGGAATTTGCAATATCGGCAGCTTGTCGAAGTGCTTGTGAGACTGTTTGGCTCTTACCCTGAAATGTATTCCATTCACTTCAACTCGTTGCAGGAAAAGTGTACAAAGAGATCATTTATTTTTAGTTCTTGGAGCTCACAATCAATATTTTTCATTAGATTTCAAATTGGATCGTTGTAGTATATCTTTGATTTAGATTCAAAGTCCAAAAAAGAATTTCTTGAACTTCATGATATGCCTCAAGTTATCCAATTGGACAACTAAAAGTTAGGAGTACTTGTAACATCCTTGTAATAAAAATAAACAGTCTCATTAATTGCAGCAAATTCAATATTGCAACATTGAAATAAGGAAGAAGCATTGTTGTTTTTTTGTCTAGTTATGCTAAGGGTACATTTGGTAAGCATAAAAATACTTCTTCAAAAGTATTTTCCCGTGAAAAAACTCCTTCATATGATTAGATTTGAGAGGTTTTTCATATCAATTGGCATTAACTGTTAAAGGCATTTCAAACCAATTGGCAGCCAACTGATGTGAAAAACCACCCACATCTAATCGTATGAAGGAGTTTTTTTACATAAAAGTACTCCACTAAAGTATTTTTGCCAATTGACTTGAAAAAAACATCTAATCTATGAGAGTTTTTTTTACGTAAAAATATTTTCACAAATATTTTCATATGTACCAAACATGCCTTAAATACTTTTCTTTGTCATTATGTTTTGCTTACCTTGGCCCCATCAACCAATGGGACTCTGGACACAACTGCGTTCAAGCAATCCTTGGTCTTGGAAACCGCTACGGTATGCTCTCTCTGTATGCCATCCCATGCTTTGAACGCCTTTGCCTGCATTGTAGATTAAATTTATAGAGTCATTTCTTTAGTGGACAAGAGTTGTGTATTGGATTTGTAAACGATGAAAGTATATTTTTTATGTTATTCGTTTAATTTTTGTGAATAAATATTTGAATAAAATTGAAGAAATCAAATTTCCTCTCTTTGACATTTATGTCTGTGTTCTGGATACGAAGGGATCAAACTTGAGCTCCCCTATACAAGTTGCACGATACCCAAAAAAAGAAGATGGCAAAGAAAAAATTGAAATCTAGGTTACATTACACTAAGTTTTAGAAGTTATGGATAACACAAAAGATAGAGCATTTCTCACATCAATGGCGAAGCCAATATGGTAGCAGATACACTTGTCAAAAAAGAGATAACCCTTTTTACCGCTGTCAAAAAAGAGATAACCCTTTTTACCGCTACAATTTGACGATCTAGACCGCTAGATTTTATTTCTTCTCCATTCCATTACTTCATTGGCACTCCGCAAGGCTTAGTATTTTCTCTCCATGGGCTCTCCACATGGCTGGCTGCGTTTCCCTCTAGTTGTGATAGGCAAGGATGCCATCACGCATGCAGTCATGGTATGACATGCATTCTGCGTGTTCTGCTTACAAACTTACGCAACTACTATTTCTTCCTTCCTACCATGCATGCTATTAAATAAATAATCCAGGAAAACAAATCCGAAAATACATAATGAGTTTAACTTTTTTAAAAAAATTATGTGCAAGGTCGTTCATTTTTTTATTTTTTTTCCATTTTACCCCCAAGTCTAATGTTAGTAAATTTTTTTTTTTTTTTTTTTTTACCTAATATGTAGGATACTTTTAGGCCACATAGTAGGGTTTCGTCAAGGACCTTGGAGTACTAATTTTGTGGCTTTAGGCCACAATGAGAGTGGTCTGATCTGTCTGTATTTCCTTGCTCAGTCTGATGTCCTTAACATTAGACTGCCCATTTTATGGCAGTCCGAGATTCGGACGTCGGACCGGCCTTGAAGTGTCCTGAAACATAGGACACAACCCTATGTTCACAAAAAAATTTAAGAAAAATGAAAACCACTTGTTAATATCAAGCTAAGGGGTAAAACAGAAAAAATAAAAATCTATAGGACAACCGGCCTTGCTTGTAATTTAAAAAACAAAAAACAAAAAAAAGCTCATCCCATTTCTTTCAGGTTTGTTTTGTGTCCGTATGTAATCTTGTTGTAACATGTTGATTGGTTAATAAAGAGTTTTGAATATTGTGAAAAAAAAAAAAACTGAGTAATTTACATACAAATAATAAAATTTTAGGTAAAATACAAAAATCTCCGTTTATAGACCGAAATTACAAAGAAAGTCTGTCAACCCACTTTTTTAATTTTTTTTTTCAAAATTGCCCCTCGGTCAACTTGAATTTCGATTTGTTTTTTAGTTCATTTGTTAGTAGGGCCGTGCCCTAAATTTTAAAGCACTCCCCTACTGACAAAAAAAAAAATCAAAAATTCGAGTTGATCAATGGGCAATTTTGAAAAAATTAAAAAACTAAACAAGTTGACGGATCTTATTTGTAATTTTCGCATATAAAGGGAACATTTCATAATTTATCTAAAAACTTAAGTTCCCATGTACAAGTTGAGTTGTACGCGGCTACATGAAAGTCAAAGTGGCAAAGCAGCATGGTATGGCACATACACGCGGGCTTCTATAAACAACAAACACACGCTACGAGTGAGAATGCACATGACATGAGAAAGCCATGTGTGTGGGAATTTTAAGACCTCAAAGTTTTTTTCCTAATTATCCTGAAAAAATTGCTCACGAGTCGGAAAAAGATTTTCTGTCAAATAAAATTTCCTATGTATATACTAAATATTCTTTCGAAGTTACTATTACAAGGAAAATAAAATAATTCTCAAAAAAAATTCAGCACAGTCCTTAAAAGGGGATTAAATGGAAAAATAATTTCCTTAAGTGAAAAAAAAAATGAAAGTAATAATGAGTGTACCTGCGATCCGAGTACATAGTTGAGCTTGTGGTCAAGCTTGTCCTTTTGCAATTGGAAACGCTTATGTGATACAGATTCTTGAAGCTTTGAAATACTTCCCCAAGCGTTTATAAAATTAATCTGCAGGACCAACAGGATATGAGCGACCTCAAGTTCACCATTTTATCGATTGAAAATGGTTTGATACCCTATCGAGATAAGTAAAACCCCACCCAATAACTCATCAAAAATTGCAATTCTAATTGTTGAAAAACCTTTAAATCAATCATCTCAACTTGAACATTATGGGCAAAAAAATTAGGATTTCAAATTCTAAAAATATTGTATATTGCAACAAATCATCTAGACCATCCATTTCGCTGTAAAAATAAATGTTCATAGATATGCTAGATCTGTACTATTTTTTGAATTTCAAATTTCACTGTCGTTGGAAATTAATTTTAGAGCCATCATAAAGATTTTTGATACAAAAATGCTTTCTAGATAAGAATTTGAGGCGAAGCTTTATTTTATTTTTATAATGCTCAGACCCTGTAAATATTTCATCTTTTATCAATACTTTCATTACTCAAATTTTTTTTTATTTTTTTTTTATTTTTATTTTTTTTTGGCAATTCTATAGGTCAATTAAAATTTCCGAATATTGACATTGCCCCTAGCCCAATATGATTCAGGGACTCGACATCTCAAGTCTAATGCCCTTATAATGGCAAAATGATAAGGTCACGACTCACGAATTCACTACTTCCAATGAGGGAGAATTCAACCAAAGCAGGAAAGTCAAAAAAACAAAAAGAAAAAAAAGAAAATTGTTCTTGGAAAGTATTGCAACGCGCCAGCCTGGCCCAAGCCCGGCCTTAGTCCCTATAACGCTGGCACCTCTCTTGAAAAGTATTATTCAAACCTCACCAAAAAAAAAAAGTCCTCCATAGAAGTACTAAAACGGATTAGCAAAAGAAATGAAAAAGAAAAGATCATTGGGTTGTTATTGCCCATTGTGATCCATTTGTTCGATGGCCTATATCGAACAGTTCCTCTGCTAACCGATCATCTATACTGTTCCTCTGTCCCTCATCATTGATTGATGGAAGGCAGAGATGGGCCTGCAGTAATACACAGTATTGGTATGACGATCACATCAAATCCTTATCAAGAAAGGAAGAAAGGGAGGGTAGCTTAAAACTGTGAAGGAAATCTGATATGCACTGGGTTAAATTCTTTGAAGCAAAAAGTTTATATAATCAGGTGCAACCTTATACTATAGAAGTATAGGTACGGTAGAAGTATATTAGAAGGAAATCTAATATGCACTGGGTTAAATTCTTTAAAGCAGAAAGTTTATATAAGGTGCAACCTTAAACTATAGAAGTAAGGTGCATTTAAAAATTAGAGTAGAAAATAATGCTCCAAAGGTGGAAAGCCTTCTAATCAGTGTTTGCAAAATCGAACCCAAATGGTTAACCGGAAATGGGCTCGGAAGCAATATAACCGGCCTAACCGGTAAACCAGCCGATTCAACTGCTTTAACTGGGCAAGTTCCGAGCGATCAAAAAAGTGTTGAAAAAAATTAAAAGATACAAAAAAAAATAAACGAAAATATTAAGAGCATATAAAGAATGTGATTAAAACAAAATAGACTCAATTGAACTTGAAACTTAATGAAAAAATGAATTTTAACGAATCGATTTGTGCCTAGAGGTAATTTTAAAATTTTTTGAAAAAGATGGGAAAATACAAAAGTGAGTAATGTAAAGAATATTAAAATAGTGTGAAAAAAATCGACTTGACTAATTCTTTTTTAAAAAAAAGAATGAAAAAAATATTATATATATAATATAATATATAATATAGGCCCCTCTTTTTATCAACTAAACAATAAATTTCGTATTGATTATTGGGTCTATAATTAAAGAACCTCTTATACGAGGTTCAAAGTTCGATTCCGGTGGGCAAAGAGGTGATTACTGAGAAAAGAACTCGATTCCGGTGGGCGGGTAATGTTTTTGAACCAACAAAGTGAACTAAACAAAAAACGTTGGCGGTGGGATTCGAACAAAAGAGTCATCAAAAGATTCACCAATTGTTAACCAAAACCGCATAGGTGATTATTAAGAAAGGAACTCGATTCCAGTGGGAGTGTAATGTTAAACAAAAAACGTTGGCGGTGGGATTCGAACGAACAAAATATTCGAACAAAGACTCACCCCAGTTGTTCACCAAAACCGCTCAAAATTAGAACCACGCAAAATTAGAACCCCGCAACTGGCCAATTTCGATCGGCCGGTTTTTCTAACACTACTTCTAATTGATCATCTCAACCTTCAAATGAATAGATATAAAGAAAAGAAAGGGGAGAAAAACAAAAAAAAACAAAAAAACAAGTATTTAAAGTAGTTCATCTTGTAACAAGTTATCTGAACTGTCTATTTTCAATATTTTCATGTGTTTACATATTTATTTATCTGCAAAACTTTTAAGATTTTACTTTTCATAATTAGGGTTGAACTTGTATTTTTAAGCCATCATGAAGGATTTTGGCCCGAAAATACATCTTCCAACAAAGTTTTGAGGTGTAGCTTACTTGTATAGAATAAGGTGGGCATCTTGTACAAACCACTCTTTTTTAAATAACCTTATGGTTCATATTTTTGGAAAGTTCATGACAAGGTCCCTCTTTTTTTACCAGTTTTTCCCTCTGTTCAATGTTTCAAATACCAAACCACTTTATCTTTTTATGTTTTGAACTTTGTTGGGCATCCCTGATAGATAAGATATCAAATCGCTCAATTTCTAAGGTTGTCCAATGTTTGAAACATTTTGGACCGCCCTATGATCTAATATGTTCTTTTGTATGGGGCTATCCTATGTTCCATACATCGGACCAGTACATACTTAGCTTTTTCTTTTTTTTTAAGGTGTACATGGCCAATGTTTGAAACATGGCCAATGTTTGAAACATGGACCGCTCTAGAAATCGGGTAGTCTGATATCTTAACCAACTACACAAATGCCAAAAAGTGAAAAAATAAAAAATAAAATAAAATGGTTTGATGTTTACAACGTCAAACCCCGAGGGCAAGACTGAAAAATAAAATTAAAAATTAAAAATGAAAGGCCTCAATGTTAAATTTTTTAAGATATGAATCAAAAAGTAGCGTTGCATATTTAAACCTGTCTGTGCATAAATTTCCAAATTTTTGATTATGATAGGTGGACAAATCACTCTGGGGTAAAATGAATAGTAACAAGTAGCATATGCTTTTCTACAAGGAATTATATACTATAAGACCATTCAGTTTTGGTATACAGAGGGAACAATCATTCTTAACCATTGGATGTGAAATCCACAGATTTTTTAGATATTTTATTTTGAATTTTTTGTCAGTCATTGACATAT